TTATAATTATTAATGATCATCAATATTATTAAAAACTTACTTTAGAAAATAAAAAATCAAAATAGATGAACAATAACATATGCTAAGCATAAAGTTGGAACACCCTCATCACCTCCCAAACCTCATTTTTGTTTCTATATTATATATAGTTTCTAAAAAATCTGGAATTTATCTTTTTGAAAAGAGATAACTTCTAAAATATTTGATATATATATCTCCTTCTCCTCTCCTAAAATCTCTCTCTCTCTACCCTCATGGCTTCCCCACGTGAGGTCTCTTTCTTGTCACCCTCGTCACATAAAATCTCTCAATCCCCATCTTTCTTTCCATATTGTATATACGGGTAGTGATCTCATACAAAAACCATGTTCGTCGTATTTGTATGATAAAAAATTTTGCACATACTATTTTATCATCTCAATAATCAATCCAAAAAATATATAGTTCAAAATTTTCCACACACACTCTTTTCATCTCAATAATCAATTAAAAAAAACAACAATTTGATTTGAACTCTAGACGTGTTCAAAATGAGTCCCCTCCAAACGAATCTAGACCATTTATTTGGTAAATTTCCAGATCTTAACCTTCACTGATGCAGCACTTGGACTCCTTTTTCTACTACCCCGGTAGAGAGGAATCCATTCTTTGGGAGCTCACGACAAATGTGTCTTTTTCAGTCAAGCCCTTAGACTCTGAGATCAGCAGAGACAGAATACTTGGCATGCATAACCACAATACATGAGTTTGGAAAATCAAGGCCGATAAAATAGTGACTGCTTTACTGTAGCTAGTCGAACAAGACCGCATACAAGAGAACAATTGTTGGAAGGGAAGGTGAAATATTGGTGAATGTATGTATGATGTGTAACTAAAACGGAGAAAGCAGTGACCACCTCCTCCTACATTGCCCTCATACAAGCATATTGTGTGACTGGATAAAAAGCCTATCTAATTGGTATGGCACCTTTTGTGGCTCAACGTCTTTCCCCTCCATTACCAAGGTAGAAGCTCACCTATTGCCTATTTTTATTTCATCTTCTTTGTGGACCATGTGGAAGGAGAGGAATGCCAGAGCATTTGAACGACGATCCAGAGAGCCATCCGAAATTATCAACTCTTTTCTGAGATTGGTTATTCATTGGGCTTATGCCTCACTTGATATCAGGGGCTACCCAAAGGAGTCTTTCTTCACAAACTTTGTTAACCTTCTATCTATCCAGCCCAAAAGGGTTATTAAAACAGATGTTTGTGATCCCCTCCTGCTGGTTGGCTAAAACTCAATTTCAATGGCAATGTACGACACGAGGCGAAGAAGGCTGGGTATGGAGGTATCGTAAGAGATTCAAATGGGAGTGTCTTATGGACCTATCAACAACAACTCCATTTTTGCGATATTAATGGGGTTGAGCTTTGGGCAGTTAACGCAGGAGTTAAAAGACTTAGCGAAGCTCATCAAAGGATTATTATATAAGGGGATTCCACGATTCTGATCAGATGGTGTTCAAACCCTTTGACAATTCTTTGGCAACTCACCTCCACCATGGACAAAATATGGCTTATCTTTCAGGACTGAGAGGTCACTTTGGCCCTTATCAACAGAGAAAGGAATACAACAGCAGATAATTTAGCAAAGATGATTGTTGGGATGTGATGTAAAGATCACACCCTATGGCCCTATGATAGTTTCCTCTTGTTAAAGGGGATTTTATTCACTAAAAATATACCTTTTTAGTGGAGGCTCAGGGATTTGATAGAGAGAAACGTGTGGGTGAGTTTGGGAGAAAGGGAACTTGTACAGAGATAAGCTTTGGGTTGGAAATTGGTGGTTTTGCAACAAAACCCTAATACCATCATTTGGGGCTCACCTTGGGCCATTTTTATTAGCATTTTTTTATGGCATTGGTAAGTCGAGGAAAGAATTCGATTGTAAGTGGTTTTGTGGTAGGAAGTTCTTTTATTTGAACTTCCCTTGAGATTGTATGAGGTAACTCTACATAATTTCAATCTTACAAATTTTTCATCTTGATAGTGAATACATATTTACCGTCTTGCCCGTAGATGTAGCTCATCTTAGGTGAACCATGTATAATTTTTCATCTTGATAGTGAATACATCTTTGCCGTCTGGCCCTTGGACGTAGCTCATCTTGAGTAAACCACGTATATGTGCATGTCTTTTATTGTTTTTATATTTTTTCAATTATTTTTACTTGTTATTACATCTTGTGCATGTTCTTTGAGTGTTCAAATCATTGTGATGTAGTGTGCACCACATCTAGTGGGATTTGAGATAACTCGATTTGCTCAAAAGAAATGATTAGGTTATCCCGATTTTACAACAATGACAACTTCATAGGCCTCCATATTTTTCTTCCCCTTAATCGGATTCCTCCTCCTCCTCCTCCTCCCTCCTTTCTTTTCTTTCCCTTCCTTTTTTTTGCCCTCGTCTATCCTTTCTCCCTCCTTTATCTCCTTTGTATTTACACCCTTTCGTATTTAGTTGTACTTCTTTCATTAACTCAACCATTATCATTCCGAAAAAAAAACAAGAGCCTGTAAAGTGAGAAAAGGGGTGAAAGTTCTACCATTCGTCTATCCTTTCTCCCTCCTCTAACTCCTTTGTATTCACACCCTTTGTCACCCTTTTGTATTTAGTTGTACTTCTTTCATTAACTCAACCATTATCATTCCAAACAAAAAAAAAGAGCCTGTAAAGTGGGAAAACGGGTGAAAGTTTGGTATCTTTCACTCTTTTCCAAGCTTATTAAACACGCTCTAACCAGATGAAGATTATGGAGAACAAATTACCCTGATATTTTCTCATTTGTAAAAATACTTCCCTTTCATTCGAGAGGCATGGGCCTATCCTAAAACTAAAACATACAACAAATTGAAGGGAAGAGGAAGAAGATTACTAATGTTAAAAATAATAAGAGTAGTGATCCTATAGGACCCATCTCCACACATATGTGTAGGACCTCAAAGGATCACCTTTAAAGTTGGTATGAAGTTTTAAAAAAGTTATGAGATGGGCGTAGGACCTGACTTTTCTATAGATTGGTACCAAATTTAATAGTGATCCTTTTGGGTCCTACATACATGGTTAGGAGAAAGTCCTAGAGAATCATTTCTCAAATCATAATAATAATAAGAGAAATGATATTATAGGACCCTCACCCACCCATGTGTATAAGACCCCAAAGGATCACTATTAAATTTGGCACGGATCTATAGAAAAGTCAAGTCTCATACCCATATGATAACTTTTTTATAGATCCGTGTCAACTTTAATGGTGATCCTTTGGAGTCCTCTACATGGGTGGGGGAGGGTCCC